GGAAAAAAGGACTTAAATTTCATTTGGGATCAGCGTTGCATGACCGTGCAATTATCAGTTAAAGTAATGCAACGCCGTATTTCAAAAAATGGCCTGGTCAGGAAGGGGGGTAAATCTTCTGGAGGGCAAGTGGTTAACAAATGGTACCCACATTCCTCTGATTTATGTTGGAGATGTGGATGAGACAAAGGAATGTTATTGGTATATGTATGTATGAATGTGAGTTAGGGACCATAGATTGTACACCCCTTGAAGGTTAGGGACTGATGTGAATGTACAATATATATGTAAAGCGCTGCGTAAATGGATGGCGCTATATAAGTACCTGAAAAAAATTTAAAAAATAAAATATATGTTGGCAATGCCCCTTGATTGCCCAATACTGGAACCAGATTCCAGATTGGATAGTTCATATCACTGATACTGATAAATCTCAACCTGGGCTCATTACTGCATATCTGGTGGGCTTCCCCGCTACTCCAGACTTACTGGTCTGAAATTCACTGTGTCATCTCTTCTGTCTCTACCCTTGCGTTTGACTTCACCGCAGCCTAATTCCTCCTACATCACATATCCCTCCCACAGAAAGTGTGTTTAAAATCACTGGCAATGCATTTGGTAAATGCCAAACTCTGTGTGCCCGTACTTTGAGGCTCCACCTGCTTCCCTTCCATCAGTGATTGGTTTCTGCAAAATAGCAGAAATAGAAGAACAAATTGCAATAGCACAAGACAATTCCATTTAGATTCACAAACACATGGTCTTTTTGGCTTTGTTTTCAAAGCACATCCGAATATAGCAGACTTATGGGATACCTCCCCCCATCGACTGCTTAGCTGAAACTGCTCTTGACTGCATAGTTACCCCATTGCTTCTTTGCCACCATTGAGTATATCTAGGCAGCACCTGACATTGAGAGGCTGTGGCTCAGTGGGAGAGGAGAAGGTAGAGTGCCCCAAAGTGATTGGGATGCCCTGTACCTCTCACCCACCAATTCCTTTCTCCCCTCTCTAGTACCCTGCTGCCCTACCCTATCTATTTCTCATGTCCTTCCTGCCCCCTCCTGTCCCCGCCCTAACAGCAACTGCTTTCCCCCTCCCCTCCTTTTATTTCCTTTCTCCTCCCTCCCTCTCAGTCTCCTCCTTTCTCCACTTTCTCTTAATTTCTCTTTCTTCTTTCACTCCCCTATCCGCTCCTCCTCATCCTTTTCTCCACTTTCTCTCCTGGAGACCCCCTCTCCCCCCTGGCCAAACCGCCTACGTGGAGTGTGATGAACAGATTCTCAGCCCCCCCCCCCCTCTTATATGTATTATGCCTGACTAACATCCTCTGCAGTCAATCTAATTTCCTATGGCATTGAGACTTCGGCTTATTGCATGACACCCCATACCTTGAAATTTTTCCCATGCACGTGAGCCCTGTTTACTCAATCATGGTTCTTACCCAGCATATACCTGGTTGCCTTATGTAAGTAACCTGAATGTATTGTTACAATTACCGACAATGTAATCTTTATGCTATTTTTGGGAAAATTTACATTGCCTCCTCTTTTCCTCTCATTTGTTGTGATGTTATTTACGACCCATAGTGTCTTTGTTTCCGTATTTGCCTCACTTTATTTCAATAAAGGTTTTGTGGAGCAATATTCTCAGGAGAGTCATTATACTATACTATACATTACATTGTATATCATATTTCATTATATAACATTATATTATACCAGTTTCATTATTTCAATCTGCTCTTTTTTTTCTGTATTTTATTTTCCTTTACGTTAATGTATATTTTTTCCCAGAACCTTCTCTTAAACCTACTTAACGTCTTTTTGATAATCTGGTAATATAACAATGCCTCATATTGTACTTTGATGCTGGAACCTACATCATTTCTAAATGTAACCATATCTTCATTGTTATAACTCTAAATGTACATTAGTACCTTTCTGACAAAATTTCAATAAGTATGTTATTGTGAAAAATAAGTAATAAAGGTTTTCTGCTGTTTCTTCAAGAACTTCAGTCTTAATAAGAACTTGTACTGTGTATATGTAGCTACCCACAGTGGAGATGTATGAATCTCTAAACATAACTAACAATTTTGTTTAGATTTTCTGTAGCTGGTGGGCTGCTAATGTAAAAGTCAGCCGTGCATCTAAAGCCGGCTTTCAGAATAATTTGTTTTATGCTTTCACCCTTCTTTAACCACTTGCCCTCCTGAGGATTTACCTCCCTTCCTGACCAGGCCATTTTTTGTGCTACGACGGTACGTTACTTTAACTGACAATTGCGCAGTTATGCAACAAATGAAATTGACATCCTTTTTTTCCTACAAATTGAGCTTTCTTTTGGTGGTATTTTATTACCTGTGTGTTTTTTTATTTTTGTTGTGTTATAAAAGAAAAGACAGACAATTTTGAATAAAACCAATATTTTTGACTTTTTGCTATTAAACATATCCAGTAAAAAAAAATTCAAAAATCAAATTTCGTCATAAATTTAGGCCAAAATGTATTCTGCTACATGTTTTTGCTAAAAAAACATCACAATACGTGTACATGAATTGGTTTACGTGAAAGTTAAAGTGTCTACAAATGGCGGCATATATACTGGGATTTGTATTTTTACAAGTAATGGCGGCGATCAGCGACTTATAGCAGGACTTGCGGGACTGCGTCGGGCATTCTGACACTGAGGGGAACTGACTTTGTGTCACTGAGATCCCCAGTGACACCAATACAGTGATCAGTGTTAAAAAAAAAGTATTGACACTGTACTAATGGCACTGGGCAGGAAGGGGTTAACTTGAGGGGTGATCAAAGGGTTTACTGTGTGCTCTGTGCTGTTTTACATAGTGCTGTGTGCTTCACTGTAAGCACACTGCTTTGCAAAGCAGTGTGCATGAGCTGACAGGGAGAACTGTTTTGTTTACAAACAGTTCTACTCCCCACCAGAGATGCACAGCAATCACCAGGCGCCAGTGAGTAATCACTGGCCAGGACCTGGTGATTGACCACGCTCGCCTTGCATGCGCCCCCTACCCAGAAATGCAAAATCACGTATATATATATATATATATATATATATATATATATATATATATATGTGTGTGTGTGATTTTGCTCACCTGTGCCGCCCTGTAACAGTATATCTGCTATAGGGCGGTTGGGAAGTGGTTAATCCAATAGACAGTCGGTAGGAAGGCATATGTGACCACCACCAATCATAGCTATGATATGCAGAAGAGGAAGAGAAGGGGCTCCTAATTTGTTTGATTCTTACATGTATTATGACTGTTGGAGGTACAATGACCACATAAAACACTAGCAGTGCATCTGACATTCAGCAAATATTCTCTGCAGGTGAACCTCTTTTAGGCCCATGTGTTTCAACCACTTCAGCACTGAAATATTTTAACCCCTTCATAGCTAGGCCATTTTTTTGCTATTCAGAAGTGCACTAATTAAACTGAAAATTGCACGGACATGCATTGCTGTATACAAATGAAATTCATATAATTTTTTTCACACAAATAGAGCTTTTTTTAGTGGTATTTGATCACCACTGAGTTTTTATTTTTTATTATGTAAATTAAAAAGACTGAATATTTTGAAAAAAAAAAAAACCCAAAATTTGTTAAAAAACATTTTGAAAATCTACATTCTTCATAAATATAGGCCATAATGTATTCTGCTACATGTCTTCAGTAAAAAAAAAATCCCCAAAAATGTTTTATTTATCCTGTAGAAACATTATAGAGTTCACAAACTATGGGATATACAGTATACAGGCTGCGAGCGTCAGGACGTACGGGGACGGAACGGCGGGAAATTTGCAAATGACAAAAAGTGACATTCACTAAATACACTAAAATCACATAGTATAACATTACTGTGTCAAACCATTTCACATACATTTTGTCCCGAGTGCTTTGTCCTGTGCCCTGCCTGCATTTTTACCGTTCTTTCTGCCTGGAAACTGAGAAACATCCACGGCATCCAAAAAGCGTCCCTTTAGGTCAAAAGCAGTTTTAGACCAGCTAGAGAACAGCGATAGTAAATTAGAACCACTTGCAGAATTGAGTGATAATGATTCGTGGGGAAATTCATCATCAGACACTGAAAACGATTTTGCGACTTTGCTCAGTGATGTGCGAACTTGGTGCTATATTTCAAATTTCACTGTTTTTGGTTTGATTATATTATTGAATTAAATTTATTATTATATTATTATTTATTTTTTATGATTATTTATTAAATTATAATTTATGATTTCGTGTTTCAAATTGTAAAATACCCCGGATGTTTACTAGACTCTTGTTCGGACAGATTTCAGTGAGTTATTCCTAAAAATTACAGGCCTACAATAAAAAAAAAAACATTTCCATGCAAAAAAATGTACCGCTTTGAGCACAGAAATATGGACATAATCAGACCGCTAGGGAGGTTAAAGCATATGTAAAACCTCACATAGTCTTTTGGATATACCATTGAAAGTGTTTTGATATATCTGTTCAATAAGTGTAAAGTAAAAAAAAAAAAATGTAATCCTGCCAGAAATATTTTGAGCTGATAACTTTCTGTGATCTCTTTCTGTACTGCGCTCTTATCAGTTACATTGAGCAATCTCTGTGGAATGAAAAAACAGGTGTCCCATGTCCTGAAGGGAAGGGGCTGGTGTTCTGTAGTCCTGTCATAGAATGACTATGCTGCTCCTCCATAGATACAGCACAGTGACAATGTAGCCATCACACCCAAGGACTGGTAAGCTGCACTATAATAAATCGTTGCTCCTGGGCTTTAAGGGCTTTAACTACTTGCTAACTACAGATAGCCGAATGACGGCTACACTGCGACCGGCCAGTTCTGGGAGGGGGTCATATGACGTCCTCCCAGAACGCGCTCTCCAACGGACACAGCTGATCACATGATGTGGTAAAAGGCCAATCACAGCGGCCTTTTACCACGTGATCAGCCGTGTCCAATGACACGCTGATCACTGGGAATGCAATTGCCGGTTCTCGGTTGCACTTTCCTCACGCTGTCAGAGTGTGAGAAAAGTACTGCCGAGAACCGGCAGTTGTCAGAGCAGGGATCGGCACCGATCATCAGGGCACTTATGATCAGTGCCATGATGATCGGTGCCCAGCAGTGCCACCCACCAGTTCCGCCCACCTGTGCCCAGCACTGCGCACACCTGTGCCCACCAGTGCACCCCACCTGTGCCCAGCAGTGCACCCTCCTGTGCCCAGCAGTGCACCCACCTGCGCCACCCAGCAGTGCCACACACCTGTTCCCAGCAGTGCCACCCACCTGTGCCCACCCACTTGTGCCCACCAGTGCCACCCACCTGCGCCCACCAGTGCGACCCACCAGTGCCCATCAGTGCAGCCCAGCAGTGCTGCCAGTCAGTTTCACCAATCAGTGCCCAGCGGTTGTGCCAGTCATTGCCCAGCAGCTGCACCAGTCAGTGCCCAGCAGTGATGCCAGTCAGTGCCACCTATCAGTGCTGTCTATCAGTGCCACCTATCAGTGCCGCCTATCCATGCCATCTCATTAGTGCTGCCTATCAGTGCTGCCTACCAGTGCCCATCAGTGCTGCCTATCAGTGCCGCCTATTAGTGCCCAGCAGTGCTGCCTCATCAACGCACCTCAGTGAAGGAGAAAAATTACCTGTTTCAAAAATTTTATAATAGAAACAAAGAAACTTTTTTTTTTCAAATTTTTTGCAATTTTTGTGTTTATAGCGCAAAAAGTAAAGTGCCCAGCGGCGATTAAATACCACCAAAAGAAAGCTCTATTTGTGAGAAAAAAAAATTATAAAAATTTCATATGGGTACAATCTTGCATGACCACGCAATTGTCAATCAAAGTGCAACAGAGCTGAAAGCTGAAAATTGGCCTGGTAAAGAAGTCATAATGAAGACCAGACATTCCCCAAATTTCTCCCTAGGGACTCACATTTACCAGTGGTACCACAAAGATGCTTTGGAACTACTGAGTCTAGACTTCCAGTTTATCAGGTGGACCAATACTGAGTCAAGAGAAACCATCAAGAGAAACCAATGCTACAGATGTTCTGCTTCTCAAACTTCAAGATAAAGAAAAGGAAACCTACTTACTGTATATGTTCTACAGGTAAAATATTCTGAAACACTTGTCTTTTTTTTTAACTATTGACATTTGGGGGTTCTGCTTCCTTCTGTCCCTGTGATTCACAATATAGTGTGTCAGAATGCAGTAATATAATTTTGTTTTTCAAACATACATATGAATTTTGTCACTTTTTTGTTAATAATTTATTCTGGATTTTTTTAACAGTTCCTTTCAACAGTTCTAAAAGTGAAATTCCAAATTATTATTTTTTTTTTTTTTGTATTGTAGGTAGCATGCAGAAAACGTAAATGTCTTATGTCAGGGTTGTTTATCGGTATGGGTCCACATCATAGAAATGTGCTTTTATCCTGGAGATAGTAGAATGTTATAAGCTTCATTTCCTATTTGCCTTCAATGCAGTGTGCTCTCCAACTATTTCCATAGAAATCGCATTAGGGAACCATTGACACTCATACCAGTCCCTAGAGAATTCTGAATCAGCCTATATAGAGAATTCACATCAGAAAGGGGAAGCAAAATATTCTGCTCATAGCAATGCCTTGAGTATAACCAGGATAGGAAATAAGGAGATATCTCCCCAGTGGAAACCCGAAAGCAGCAAAAAATCATAAAGACTTTAATCCTTATCAAGTCTACATAAAACTAAAGAACACTTCCACTTTAAGCTGTAAGTTTTATAATCTGTAAACAAACATGGGGACACTTCTTTCTTTTATACTCAGTGATTCTGACTATTATAGTCTCACTTTCTTGTACATCAAAATGTTTTCACACAACGAATAATGCTCTGAGCCATCGTTTAAACGTAGCCCTAAGCATGTACTAGCATTATACCTTTTGAATGTATTTTCTGTGAAACATTTTGTATCCCAACACACCACATACTATTAATTATCTGAAATACATATAAATCTTTCACAGTGATACGCTCCAAGACTATACCTACGGTATACGTGTCAAGGCAAAAGGGTCACTCCGCTTCCTCTGTAGGATTTGCTATGCCCTCTTGGCCACTTATTGTCAGATTGATTTCCGTGTTCCAGCTAAACAACCAAGCATCATCCCAATACAGTGCTAACAGTAACAGCAATGACTACCCAATTAGTAAACACAGTCAATGAATAGGTCAAGCTGTTTAAAGTCCAGGGACACAGTGTTAGGTTGAGCCTGCAGGATTGTTTAGCTTATTCTCTTGACACTCCTTTTCATCAGTGGAAATCTCTTTACGGTGTACCAGACAAGTAAATAAATCAGTATTCATCTAAATCTTGTCATACTGCCTAAAGGAGAGCAAAAAAAGAACACTCAGAGACACAGGTCATTAAAAATGAGATTTAACGTTGGTAAAATATGAGATCAATAATGAAATAGGATACCGTGTTCTGTGCATGGTGTGAACTCTATGTCAATACATTTCAGCATGTTTACTCCAGTAAGTGGTTGAACTCTTCAGTGATCTCTCTTGTGTTTCTTTTTTAGGCAAACTGTTCTTAATAATTGGCTGCATTAAATATACAGTATACATGTGTGTTTTCCTTCATCTGAGTTTTACATTGCAATTAGAATTTTTTCCAGTCATTCCCTACTATGATGTCTTTAATTATACAGTAAATGATATATGAATGCATAGCAATACCTATATTGTAATACAGTATATCTATTTATAGATAGAAATATTCCGAGATATGTGAGCGCCATTAAAGGCTATTAACAATGCTCTCATGTTTAATTTTTTTTATGATGAACGTGAGGGCCCTTTCATAAGTATGCCTATGTTTTTTTTACTTTTGTAGTTACACGTTTTTGATTCATGTAACTGCATGCATTTTAGCTCATTTTGTTCAGATACATCAAGCCTGCACAAAACTCCATAATACACAGGGCTTAATAAACACAAAATGTACTAGAAATACAATATGTGCCTTTTTAAAAAAAAAGACTTTATACTTGCATACATTTTCATACAGAGACATGAATGTTTTATACTGCAGAAAAAAGGGTGAAAGTGATATTCCTATATAGGTACATTATTTTATGTGAGCCACTCAGGGCAGGGAGCATCTGGATCAACAATTGAAAATAAAGGAAAAAGCCTGACAAAAAATAGTACAGCTAATTCAGCAAAAGATTGTAAGTTGCTATATATTTGATTTACTGAAGGAGTAGAGTGTGTTCACTTTGCAAAGTGAATTGTCACCTTACAAGGGAATTTTTAGTTAGCTTAGTGAATGAAGTGAAAATTCACTTTGCAAAGAAAACCCAATCACAAGCAAAGAGAATGGAAGGGAAAGGGGAATAGGCAGTTTCCAGGCTCCGCTCACAGCTGTACATGGCTCCAGGTGGCTGACAGGTGAAGAGAAGGTCACATGACCTTTTCCCGTTGGTCCAACACACCTGCACATGAACCATAAAGAAAATACATGTGACTGGTCTTTCCCTATTGGTCACTTGTAGGTCAGGTGACTTTCCGGGAAAGTTCTGGAAGGCACAAATCCCCTATATAAGAGCTGTCAGAACCCCCCTGGGCACCTGTTGCATCGGGGTATACCATCCGGTGAGTTCTATAGTTCTCTTTTAGAGAACTGAGCTCACCTGCCTACTGAATGACATATCAGACTGGATGTCACTCCACTTCCTCAAATTAAACCTTTCCAAAACCGAGCTCTTAGTTTTGCCCCAAGCCCGTGCCCCCCACCCAACCTCTCCATCACGACCAATAACGCCACCATCAGTCCCACCCCGCAAGCCAAAGTTCTAGGTGTCACTCTAGACTCCAACCTATCCTTCCAGCCCATGTCCAATCGCTGACAAATTCATGCAGGCTCCACCTCCGCAACATCTCCAAAATACGTTTGTTCCTAACCCCAGACACTACTAAACAACTCATTCACTCCCTTATTATTTCACGACTCAACTACTGCAACTCACTCCTCACCAGCTTACCTCATCACAGACTCTCCCCGCTTCAGTCTATCCTAAACTCAGCGGCCAGACTCATCCACCTTACCAATCGCTCCGTATCTGCCACCCCCCTCTGCCAATCCCTCCACTGGCTTCCAATTGCCCAACTCATTAAATTCAAACTACTAACATTGACGTACAAAGCTATTCATAATACTGCCCCAAACTACCTCACCGACCTGATATCCAAATACCACCCAACACGTACTCTTCGCTCCTTACAAGACCTCCTACTCTCCAGTTCCCTGGTCTCCTCCTCCCATGCCCGACTCCAGGACTTCTCCAGGTCTTCCCCCATCCTCTGGAACTAAGTACCCCAATCCATCAGACTGTCATCTACCCTCCTCACCTTTAGGCGCACCCGGAAATCCATCTCTTCAGGGAAGCCTACCCCGCCCTCACCTAACAGCCGATCTCCTCCACTCCTCCTACCACTCCACCATCCCCCACTGCCATTTCCTCCTGTACCACTATCCCCTCCCTCCTAGATTGTAAGCTCCAAGGAGCAGGGCCCTCGAACCCCTCATGTATTGTATTGCTACTGTATTGTCTCATGTACTGTCCCCCACCATAATGTACAGCGCTGAGCAAACTTTTTGGCGCTATATAAATACTATATAATATTAATAATAATAAGGGGTGTTGATCTGAGCATGAAGACTCTTATCTGCAAGATCCCAGATAGCAAGAATAACTTGCCACAAATCCATGGCAGTGTTGAATTGTAAGTCTTGCTAACTTGCTGCACATTTTCACTGGCAAGTTGTACACTTACAGAGCACTTGAAGCTCAAGTTCTAGTTGACACTTTTCCAGTTTGTAGCAAATTTGCGTGGCAAGTCTACAGCAAGAGCAAAGTTTCAGTGGTGAGTCAACAGCAAGAGCTATGCAAGTCTACAGCACGGCACAAGCATGAAAATTCAGCCACAGTGACCCCTGTGGTGGGATGACTATTGCACAACATAACTTAACCAGAACTTGCAGCAGACTTGCAAAATCTTTGCAAAGAAAGTTGATCTGGAGTCATGCATTGCGGACGTGCTGCAATTGTGTAACAAACTTGTGAACCCTGGCAAGTCTAGCAGTAGCTTAGCAAGTCATTTTAAAATTTGCAACTCATCTGCTTGCTATCTGGGATCCTAGAAAGAGCCGGCAAAGAAGGAGTGGAAGAATGGCTGAAGAAATGCTTAGACTTACTGCCAACAGGATCAAGACAAGAAGATTCATCCACTGTAGCTGTCTCTGCCACTGAACCCTGTTCACCGTGTTCAGTCCAGAGGTTAGCCCGGAGGAAGATCTACAGGAGGAAGCAGGAAGAGACCTCTCACCCAAGGAAGAGGTTGCCAGCACCCCCTAGAGGGAAGGACAAAAAGACAAGGGGCAGCAAAGAGGAGGCACTATCAGCGCCAAAGATACTCACCCTCACCACC